AATCTGCTGTTATTGACGGGATTAATGCACGTTGACTTCGTTTGGCTGCACCAGTTATCGCGCTGAGTATTGCAAGGATGTTGAACTACTCATTCTTAATTGGAACTTTTCCTCAACGTTGGAAACCCGCTAAAATTACCCCTTTGTTCAAAAAAGGAGATGCAAGCAACCCACCTTACAGTCATATCTATTAAAAATTATTGAACGTTACGTCGACGATTCTTTGTATGACTTTTTTTTGAGTGAACGACTTGATTTACTACCTCGTCCCCAGCGCTTTTCCCTAGAAATAATGGGAGGTTGCTTGATTTATTTAGACAGTCTAGTTTTCGTAAGCACCATGGTTCTGAGACTGCGCTGTTTAAAAATGAAAGTTGATGAGCTATTACTAAATTTGGACAACAACAGAGTCAGTGGAGTACTACTTGTTGACTACTGTAAAGCGTTCGACATGGTCGACCACAATTTATTATTGCTGAAATTAGAGGCTTATGTCTTTACCAACAGAGCATATAATTGGTGTCAGTCTCATCTCTCTGTAGACGCCAGCTGGTCTGCATTGATGGCAAGGAATCGTCTTTGGCGTGTGTAAACCATGGAGTACCACAAAGATCTATTTTGGGTCCTCTTTTCTTTATCTTATTTATCAAGGATTTGCCACTCTATATTACAGCTCAGGGAAGAGGTTCCATCACCCCAACCCCCGCCCCCCTACCCCTTGAACCACAGTGGGGGTATGACTTTGCGTGCACGCCCGAGGGTTCATTGAGCGTTTAGTTCACAATTTGTAGCCTTACGTTTACGTTGATTTGCCTGCGTATTGAAGTCAGACTTTGAGCTACTATCACGCCCATGATAAGGTCGCGCTTCTCTTATCTGGTCTCAAGGCTTCATCACTCCACGCGTAAAAGTAAACAAAAAGAAGCAAACAGAAGCATTATGTTCTTTACCTTTGAGTTCCTAAGTCTTAGTTATTTCGTTTCTTTTGTTTTTTGTTTTTATTCTTCTGATAGCTTTTTGTTTTCGAATTGTTTTAAAGTGGTTCATTCGTTTCTTATATTCTCTTTTAACTTTGTCGGAGCAATTGATGTACAGTACATGTAGGCCACGTGCGTCTACTATTGATCGAAACTACTGTAAAGCTCTGAGACACAATAATTCAGAGGTTGATGAGCCCATAACCCGGAGCGAGCAACTTCCATTCGCTCGTGCCACGGCGTTTTGACGGACCAGTTTATTTTTAGAACGGTTTTTAGCGCGAATTTTGACTATCTTTTAAATTTCACAAACCAGTCAGCAAAACCTACCGACCTAAAAATGATATTTTTTGCCTTTTAATGACGTTTAGTTTTTCTTTTTGATATCTTATACTTCGAATGCGCTCATAGTCATGGTAGAGATTCTCTTTTCGCGGGAAAAAGTGCCCTAAAATGTGTCTAAAAATAAACTGGTCCGTAAAAACGCCGTAACAAAGGCCTAGTATGGGAGTACTAGATATATGCTGTGTGTATCAGGCAGTCAACTGATGATGAAACATCCAACACTAAAACACAGTCACACAGCGTTGAGACACGAAATGGCCCAATAGTACCTTTTTCAAGCTGAAAGTGACTCAAACAAGGTATGGGGGGATATATGGCGTACAAATCGGTAACAGTCACTGCGCTCATCTAATTGACGAAAAAGAGAGCCAGGGGTTATTCTGCCCCTTGGAACCAAAACATCTTATTTCTGTAATCGGACTGGTCAAATCATACAGTTTTGGTGCTTTATAAGCAAAAAATGAAGGCTGATAAAAATTAATCAGATTGGAGCATTCTGTTATTTACCCGATCAGATAAAAAACAGTTGTAACCTAGGTCGAGGATGGGGGATGGGGGGAGGGGGGTGATGACCAATTAAAAAATAAGCTTGCAGCATCGAAAATGATTTTAAAAGCCTCAGCGAAGGGACAGGAAGAAGTGGCTTGTGGTTTCCTAATCAAACATTGACCTCGGAGGTCCTTGTTCAAGGGGAAGAGTTTCTTCAGAAAGGTGATTTACGTCGTGGACATCAACAATCAAATTAAAACTTCAGTCTCCTTTTCTTTATATTTAATACAACATAACAAGGCTGAAAGTTACATCAGAAACTGAACACTGTACCACGCAACGTACCAAGATTAGCAACAAGCAGTTGATGTAATCAAGTCGACGCAATAAGGTAAAAGAATGCGGAGCACTTCTTAAAATAAACATGGCCATGTTATACGTCAGCTTACGTCATTTGCCTAGAAAACACTCCACCTTCAGGAAGCTAAACATTCGTTAGATTCCCGCTAGAATAATCCTAGCTTAAAAGATTGAAGTACATATAACTTCTTAGCGTCTAACCACAGAACGATGCTGAACAAATGCTCTGGAACTGATCTGTTTGATCAATGTACAGCCTTACTTTTTCAAAAAATTAAGTTCTCCAGTCAATAAAACATTAAAAAAGCGTACCACTGTTATTAAGCAATTGAACTATCTGAACCACAGTTCGGGTACTTATATAAGATAAGAACAATATTATAAGACGGTCCTGAAGGGGGGTATACCAAATCCCAGTTCCCAACCTAAGTTTGGTCCAAATCCCATTCCCAGTGGCTGTTTGCCGGAAAATGATGGCATGCACATAATAAATGAAAAGTTGCACTGATTGACACCGTCTGGATACAGGTACATCAGTTCATCTAGAAAGAAAAAATCTCTCATTCTACTGGACAAGTGCACAATCTTTCTCTTCCAACTCTTGTTGGCATAACCATATTAAAAATACTTCTTTCAATCTCACTTTCAACATCTTCATCCGACTCACGCACTATCTCCACTTAGCCGCGTCAGTAGTTGTCACGGTTCAGTCGAAATCAGTTAAAGATTATAGTTTGCAATTTTCTGTGCGGATTACCGCACTGTTTGCTGAACTGAAACATTTGGATGACCATAATTGTGCAAAGTGCGGGAAACATTTTTTAAATCAGACGCCATTTTGATCTTTCTCAAATGGGCATGTCATTTCAGTGACAACAGAACTTCATTTATGCATTGCTGTACTTTGGTTTACTGATGCATGATTGGATTTCTCCATTTCCAAAATTGGGCTTATTTGTGCAAAATTGTGTCAAATAATTGAGTCCAAGTCCTCTAAAGAAGAGAAACCACAAAGCCATTTTCAAAATTGTTCATGCCTCTCCCAGTGCAGTAAATCCCATTTTCCCACTCCAAAAAAAGTGAAATCCCAGTTCCTATTTTACCCCTTCAGGACCCTCTTATAACTGTTATGTCACTCAAGCAATAGTAAGTTACAGTTTTAACTAAAGTGGTATTTACTAACTTACTAATCAGGCGTACCCAACGACAGCTTTATCACGAAAATCAGCCCTGAAATGCCTCTATACAGGGTTCCTGGGGTTTTTTAAAAGCAATATAAATGAATAATTCGCATCGCTATAAAAATTTTAGGCACACTAGAGAGCTTTGAACAGACATTTCCTACAAAACGGTCGTTAGGTGCCCCTGACTAATCTGTTGCTATGCGCTTTAGTTTGGAGACGCTTCCGTTTATAACACGTTCTGGCCTTCCATCCAAACGTCATCCACTAGGCCAAAATTTAGCCTTTGAAGTTCGTGAATGTATTATCCTTTGACAAAAACGCATATTCATTTGTCTGGACGAAGTAAATTTTCCGTCAATTGCCAATTTTTTGTTGTTGTTACGCAAACAAAATGTTACACTAACCACAACAAGTTAAGGTTATAAAAAATCATTTAGGAAACTGATTTTAACACTTTCAGGGTAAATTCCCAATAGTTAACGCTGAAAAAAACTAAATTTTGCGCAAAATACTTTTAACAATATGTAAAGTATAAGAATATATAACAAAATCAACGGCCCAAAACTGTAGATATTTTATGCTCTATAGATTTGTTCTAAGCCAATGATTAACCGAAGGAACACGTGCGTAAGTGAAAGTACCATTTGAGAAACGTATTTCAACATCATCAAAGGAAGAAAAATTTCTCTATCAGCTAATGCTGCTTCGCTGCAATAGTTTTAGGCAGTAAAATAGTATAATATTCACTTTCTACGGTTACACGAAACCTTTTTTCCTCAGGTAAAATAGAACTTTGATATTATAATGTTCCTTTGATTCAGCAGTACTCTTTCTTTGATATCTCCCTGCAATCAGCACGGCCCCTGTAAATAAAGTAACAATTGATTAATTAATACGCTTGAACAGCGAAATAACGGCCTCAATACTACTCGTTCTATAGAGGTTTTAAGATAAAAAGCCTTAGATTACAGGATAGCAAGGATGAGACGAATGTAAAATCGAAGTTGGGCAGGAGCTCAAAACGTTTCATTACTTAACAACAAGAGAGTATGTTAGAGCTACTTGTATTATCTAGCTATATGGTGTATACACAAAAATGGGTTTTTAGAAACATTTTTTGGTCTATTTTCTGCCTATTTAACCTGCTTTTCTGCTCATAACAAATCATAAAATAACGGTTTTAACTCTTTTGGACAAATATAACATTTCTCTTTTGAATCGGGTAAAATGATGACTTAATGGTAGTTCAAACTAAAATGTTGAGGCAAAAACTAAAAATTCTCAACGCATAATCCACAGCCAGTATGTCACGGCAACAGCCATTTACAGTGAATGCTGATTTTGCACTTAATTATATGATTATTGAAAGGTTTCTATAGTGTTCAACAAACGTTTTTAAACAATTTTTTATTACAGAAAAGAAATCTGATTACGTAAATCCAGAATAATTGTACACCAACGAACCATCCATATTATTTTTTTTGTCAATATTATTCACACTGTCTTGCTTTTACTGCTTATTTGTATTTAATTTTGTCAATTCCTTTACATTTTAATTTGAAGACAATAAAAACTTAAACCTTATTTAATATATTGGGACCCTAAGTAATCTAAAACAAAAGAAAAGTCTGTACTTACAGCTTTCTCAACGGTTTACATCAAATTCAATCGTGACGTCATCGCCAATCAGCACAAATGGAGCCCAGTACTTTGGGGCGGAAAAGTCGTCCGAATCTCGAAGGCGTTTCATGGCCTTCTGCAGAGCAGTACTGGCACTTTCTCCAACTCTCAGGTGTTGGTAGAAACATTCCATAAACACCATTGTGGCTTCATCATCAATTGCCCAGAGTGACGCCAGCACAGAACGAGCACCAGCAAACAAGAAAGCCCTTGCCATACCGACCACACCCTCAGACGAGACCTCTCCTTGACCACTATGGCAGCAACTAAGAACCACTAGCCTCGCTCTCAGCTTAATGGCTTGTAAATCAGACATTTTCAACATGTAGTCCTCTTCCTTAGGGATACGAGTCTTGGATTGCCACCCGGGGTTGGGAGCCAAAGCAATTTCACCAGCTTCCTTTCCTCCGTGTGCTGCAATGTGAATCAAAGCGACTGAATCTATTCTCCGAAGCACCTCTTTTTTGGTTGCAGCTTCTCCTGTGAGTGGTTGGCTGTTAAGAAGTTTTCCAATCATCTCCACTTCTTTTTTTGCGAACTCCAGCTGATCATAAATGGGTTTATCCCTTTTATTTGTAACTTTCCTCAAACATGGATCTCCAACAAGCAGGGCGCCAGTTTTACTGTGGTATTCAGTTGAAGAATCTCTTATTACTTTCAAACTTGTCAGTGAGGGAATAATACGGATCCTTAAAGTTTCACTTAAGGCTGTCCAAGGAGCTAAACACAAAGCACCATCAGGGACTACAACCAGTTCATCGCCATCAAGTAAGTCTTCAATGGGACCAAAAACTATATCATGCAATGGCTGTAACCAGTCGATATTCTCGTGCGATGGAATCGTTATTTCATCATCTTCCTGAGTACTCAAAGTTGACTTATCTCTTAAAACATCAAGTGACCGATTCTCGCATCTAACATCTCTGCCAGCCCCAATTTGTTTCAAAGAAGCTTTCAAAAGTGCATCAAAGGGATCTTCGTGTGCCCTTCCACTTTTTAGTACTGTTTCCCTAAAAATAGCGTTGGTTTTCTTTCCCAGTACCCACCAGCTTATTGTTCCATTGTCCAATGCAATAAACGTTGTCAAAACAGATATGTTCCTTGAAATGCATGCGAAATCAGTTTCATTTGAAATGGGCGAAAGGGATGTAAGGCCATACTTTATTTTCAAGGCATCTAGCAAAGCTGCTGCTCGTCCCCGTTCGGCCGCGTACAAAGCCTCATCCGTCTTTTGAAGCGCTATAAGAACTCGACATAAATAACGATAGCTAGATACGTAAAGCTCATGAAAACTTATTTTCAATGCATCTTCCGAAATGAAACTAGCCCTAATAGTATCAAACGCTTTTACGCTGAATTTGAAATTACCTACAGCCTCATCCAGAGAACCTAACAACATATGAGCCATACCCAAGTACTGATAGGCACGTCCTTCTAGGAACATGTCAGCCACTTCCTTAGCAATTTTGAGCTGTTGCTTGTAGTACTCGATTGCTTGTTGGAATTGTTCAAGGGATAAATAAGCAAGGCCAAGATTGGCATAGGTATATCCCTCTCTGGACCTGTTGCCCACTTCCTTAGCAATGCTTAGGCTTTGCTTATAATGCTCTATTGCTCCTTGGAAGTCGCCGAGGGATTTACAAACTAAGCCGAGACCGCCATAGGCCCTTCCTTCTTCATTCCTGTCGCCGACTTCTATTGCAATGCTAAGGCTTTTCTTGTGGTGTTCCCATGATTGTTTGAAGTCCTCGAAGGATAAATAAGCATTGCCGAGATTGCCATAGGCACCTCCTTGTCCGGCCCTGTCGCCGACTTCTATTGCAATGCTCAGGTGTTGCTTGTGGTACTCTATTGCTTGTTGGAATTGGCCAAGGGATTGATAAGCATTGCCGAGATTGCAATAGGCACGTCCTTGTCCGGCCCTGTCGCCGACTTCTATTGCAATGCTCAGGCGTTGCTTGTGGTACTCTATTGCTTGTTGGAATTGGCCAAGGCTGTCATAAGCATTGCCGAGATTGCCATAGGCACGTCCTTGTCCGGCCCTGTCGCCGACTTCTATTGCAATGCTCAGGTGTTGCTTGTGGTACTCTATTGCTTGTTGGAATTGGCCAAGGGATTGATAAGCATTGCCGAGATTGCCATAGGCACCTCCTTGTCCGGCCCTGTCGCCGACTTCTATTGCAATGCTCAGGTGTTGCTTGTGGTACTCTATTGCTTGTTGGAATTGGCCAAGGGATCTATAAGCATTGCCGAGATTGCAATAGGCACGTCCTTGTCCGGCCCTGTCGCCGACTTCTATTGCAATGCTCAGGCGTTGCTTGTGGTACTCTATTGCTTGTTGGAATTGGCCAAGGGATTGATAAGCATTGCCGAGATTGCCATAGGCACGTCCTTGTCCGGCCCTGTCGCCGACTTCTATTGCAATGCTCAGGCGTTGCTTGTGGTACTCTATTGCTTGTTGGAATTGGCCAAGGGATCGATAAGCATTGCCGAGATTGCCATAGGCACGTCCTTGTTGCCATGCAATGCTCAGGTGTTCCTTGTCCGGCCCTGTTGCCGCATTGCCGAGATTGCAATAGGCACCTCCTTGTCCGGCCCTGTCGCCGACTTCTATTGCAATGCTCAGGTGTTGCTTCTGGTACTCTATTGCTTGTTGGAATTGGCCAAGGGATTGATAAGCATTGCCGAGATTGCAATAGGCACGTCCTTGTCCGGCCCTGTCGCCGACTTCTATTGCAATGCTCAGGTCTTGCTTGTGGTACTCTATTGCTTGTTGGAATTGGCCAAGGGATTGATAAGCATTGCCGAGATTGCCATAGGCACCTCCTTGTCCGGCCCTGTCGCCGACTTCTATTGCAATGCTCAGGTGTTGCTTGTGGTACTCTATTGCTTGTTGGAATTGGCCAAGGGATTTATAAGCAATGCCGAGATTGCAATAGGCACGTCCTTGTCCGGCCCTGTCGCCGACTTCTATTGCAATGCTCAGGTCTTGCTTGAGGTACTCTATTCCTTGTTGGAATTGGCCAAGGGAGGCATAAGCAATGCCGAGATTGCAATAGGCACGTCCTTGTCCGGCCCTGTCGCCGACTTCTATCGCAATGCTCAGGTCTTGCTTGTGGTACTCTATTCTATTCCTTTCAGTCATTTAGCAGTTCCTGTATGAAAAGTGTGGCTGTTTCTTGATGGTGATATACCTAGAAAAGGAAAATGTAAAGTTATCATTATTTCCTGTCTGCCACTTTTTTGTTGTCTTTAGAGTTGTGCGCGTTAATGTGAAGAAAATGCAGAAAAGTGCTTTCTAACTCATGTTCAACTGAAATTAGTTTTCTGGATCGGACAGACAACAATTTAAAATCCCTCTGCACTCTAACCCACATATTTTAATCTTACTGATGCCCTTGCGAACATCTTTTTTTAATCAAAACAATGGCCAACCAAAGGTGAGAAACGGGAGCAATGTCAGTGGTACCGAAACAGTCACGTGAGGATTGAACTATTTTCTTACGTGAAAGTTTTTGTTTATCCAAGAAATTTTCATAACCACTTGGTACGTGAGTAAACGAACTATTGTTTTCTCTCTTAGAATACGCTTTTTAACGGCTTAAATTAAAGTCCCGTCTACACCAATCGGGTTATTTTTGTAACTGCACAATTATATGTATTTTTTACCCTGATTCGTGTGGAGGGGGTCTCAAACCTGTCTCTGGAGGGGGTTTCAACAAGATGCCTTCTTGGATAGTGGATCTACTGGTTTCTTGTGAACGAATGGCCGATTTGTGTAAAAAAAAAATGGGGTTTCAAAAATAGCAAGATTCGTGTGGACGGGACCTAAACTGGCGTTTTGTTGTTGATGCAGATCACAAAATGGCTTCATACTGGATCTTTTTGCTTTTCCGTAATAATTGTCACCGCCGTGAGGGTACAGTTTGCATCTAACTATTCCGGGTATTGTCTCCAAGTTTTATGTTTACATTAACGGCACTAACTAACAATGCATTTGAAATATGCAGAAATCTTAGTTATTGCTTTGCTTTAAAATATGAAACTTGGAGACAGTACCCCCTAAACAATGAGAAACTTTCACTTGTAAACACGAAATTTTCGACAAAGTAAAATAGCGAATTGAAGTCCTTATTTTATTACCTTACAAGTTATCAATAACATTGAAGCTGAAGGGTCATATAAAATGATGGTTAATCTCGATAATCTCAAATTTTTAAAAATATTTATCGAGCGGTTTCAAATTTATTTGTTCATTTGTTAAAGTAGACCAAAATATTTAGAAAACGCCAATAAGAGCACCTCAATGTATTATCAAATCCCTCTTTCTTACGAAAGGCTTAAGACGTTCCCATGCTACTTAGAAACACGTCTAAAAGTGAATGAAAGTACTATGAGCCAGAACTGCATTTCAAAATCGCTTCGTTTTCTAAAGATAACGGCCGAATACTGAATACTGAATACTGAATTTCTAACCACAAATACTTCATCCCAAAATATCTATACGCTCTCATATATTGCAAAGGTCCTGATTTGAACTATTTTGGTCGAAAAGTTGGTAGGAACTTCATGTAAGCCTTACGTTTAATGTCCTGAGACGTACATGGCCTTACATGTCGATGACGTCACAGGTACGATAGCAGTTGTGTAGTTATTCTAGTACAGTTGCTGTGCTGCCTGTAGTCTTTGTAGTTCCTGTAGTTATGTCAATGTAACCCGGCTGATCATGACAAGATTTTCATCTTTATCTGATACAGTTTTTGTCAGTTGTGACGTAGTTAATGCTCAAACATGGGAGGTATTAACCCTGAAAAACCCCATCGAGCCACCTTAAGAGAATGTACAGTGAGTAGCTCTTCCCCCCTCCTCCACTTCCCCTGTATATAACACGCTACATTGTTTTCTTTAAACAGCAAAGATCTTGAAGTTACCAGGATAACATCACTAAGTACAAGTCCCAAGTACCGTACTGCCGTCTATCAACAGCGGCACCCAACGACGGTTTCCTCCAAAAAACGTTATTGAAAACACTTTTTAGGCTATTCAGAGTACTTTTAGATGTCTAGAAATACATTCTAAGCGGCGCTACAAAATTTTAATCTGTTTGGTCATCCTAGGGGAACTTAAGTCTTTTCGAAATTACGAGGACTTCAGTATTATTTTCCCGAAAATTTTAGGTGCAATTTAACGTTTAACGAAAGGGAGAATTTTTCTGATTCTTCTCTCCATCACATTTTAGAATCCGAAAATTTTAGGTTTCCTTTTTCTAAGAAAAATAGTGTAACCTGGGTAGTAAAATATGAAAAATTAAACTTCAGAAAATCTTATGGAATTTGTTAGATAAGCTTCGAAAATTGAACATAAATGGAACGTTCATTTAGAAATTTTTAGCCGTCCTCAAGCAAAAGAAAATTCTACGCAATATTTGCTTCTCCAAACACATATTTTACAAAAACAGTCGTTGGGTGCCCCTGTATCAACAGGTAGTTGAATAAAACGAGTTTTAAGTCTTGAGACCTGCGGTTCAATGTTTTAGACAAAATAGCCCAAATGCTCAATTTTAACCCTTTTTGTCAGGGCCACTATCAGTGACTTTGAAATGTTGAATCACCAACGAACTGTACACTATCTTTGGGACCTTTGGATCATCTTCAGAAAATCGTTTCGTGGCATGAAGGGCCATAGCGAGAGATTTTGAAGATGTACGCGCACTCCAAAATAGGGAGTCTGGGAGAATGTTTCCCAGAATGTTTTTAATTGAAAGTCTCAGAAATGCCATTTCCTGCGTTTCCCGCATAACATTTTTAGTAAATAAGTACGAAGAACAATGCAGTAGGGGGCAGGGAAGGGTACATTTTTTTCGTGTTTCATCCCACTAAAACGCTTCTTGCCATCCGTTTATGGAATAAGAAAAGGATAAAGGAAATATTCAAACAAAGACACCCATTAATACGAAAAAGTAAATAAGTCATGCGATTAAATGATAAAAATGCTTTCAGGAAATTTAAAAACATTCTCTTTTCCAGATTTCGGCTGTACGCACGGGCGTATGTGCGCATATGGACGCTATGCTCCTGCAATGTTAGTCATTATTAAGCCCAGCACAGTATATAGTAAAAAGATTCACGCTGCATTGACAGTCGTTGTTTAACTTCATTAACTTTTTGAGAGTTCTCAATTGACCATAATAGCGGAGCTTCACGCGCGCGGGTAGAGCCCCATAGCTAAGAAAATTTGGTTATCTATCCATGTGAGAAAATTTGGTAGTCACGTGATCGTACGCCCGACCGTCCGTCCGCACTACAGGGAAACCAATGTTAAATTTCACACCTTGTAGCTAGTATGGGAGCCTGCAGCCTGGTATTGCACATTCATGTTGTGGCCAACTGACAGCTGTCAAAACAGGGTATCTGCTGACCAGTATCACATTACCGTATCGCAGGCTCAGGTGTCGACTCATTTTGTTTGAGTGTTGGTTTGAAGTTATCCCCTGACAACTTACTAGTTTTCAAATGAAGCTCAAGTTCAAGTTTTTAAACTTCAAGGGAAAAAGTTGTGTTAATGAGTCGGTCTATTAACATTTTGATTGACTCCGGACGCGAAAATTCAGCCAGTTTTTACAGGCGGGAAGGCGATTGCTTTTGGCTTTTTTCACCATGGTCACTCATTGGTCACGCTCTTCGTCCCATTTTCATGCTCTGATTGCTCAAAATTTGACAGGTGGGTTCACGCGGAAAATTTATGCATTATCTGGAAACTTGTTTAGTGATAGCTGAAGCTGATAGTTTTCTGTCATCTTATTCTTGTACAAAATGAAAGACAGCTGCTATCAAGATTCATTTGTTATTCTTGGCTGGTTTGTTTATTGGGTTTTTGGTTGAGAAATGCGCCACTTTTCCGAGTCATCGCAAATCCGTCTTCTGATGGCATCGTTTTCAAAAATGAGCCTCTACCTAACCTTGCTGGATGCGTAGGAGGGTTGAAAAGTCTGAGGCGATTCTGGCCTTACTTGGTGGCCTTCAGGAGCTGCATCTCGACTGGTAAGCCTGAGTAATTATTGCATTTGATGTTTTTTTTTCCTGGTAATTTCATAAAGTCCAGCGTAGTTTTTTGCGGCAGGTTTTTAAGATTTGAGACAACGATCTGACCTAGTATCATGCCAGGTTTGATATACAGAACTTTAAAAGCCTTTACACATTTTCTGACAGCAAACAGAGGGAAAACGTTCTGAAGAATGTTGCTTGTAAAAAAGGAAAGCTTTGAGCGATATTCTTGCCTCGAGTTCATCTTGAAAAAGTAGCAAACACCTGAAGGCCGGTTTATATCTGCAAGGTTTTTTATATGACCGTCAGGATTTTCAGAAACACTTCACTCCCAATACTTGTCTTCGTGAATAACAATTGTTGTCTCTGTAAATGTTTCACCGAATTATATTTCTTGTCTTGATTGTTAGTAGTCTCTTTCGCAATTTTTTAAAGTCGCAATGCCGTTTTTTTTTCAGTCGTACATGAACATCGCATGCAGGCGTACTCAAAATGCCCCGCGTATCAAACGCGTTTAATGATGACACATAATAAAACCATAAAAAAGTTGAACATAATAAATTCTTTCTTATATTGAAGCGTAACTCTATTTAGAACCGGCTGCCCGTATAGGGAAATTTTAAAGTTAAATAAAAATACTAGGCTTTTTTGAACGTTTTCGCTAAAAGCTCATTATTACCCTGCACAATATATACATAGGAGCAGAATGATCTCACTGAAATCGTGGTATTTTCTTCATGAAAACGTTTTATAATGGTTCACTTCTATAATTTGTTGTGCAAGGGTTAGCGCGTCCTTCGATCGTCGTGATAATTGAATGAGTGCAATTTGTCTTGCAAAATTGTGAAAATGAAAAACAACCCAATTCAACTGTCCGAAGTCTGTACGATAAACAAAGAGCACCTGATAGTACTGTTTACCTCATATGTGATGTATAAAAAGTATAAAAGGCTGGTTTACAGGCCATCAGATTTGTCGGCAAGAGTTTGTAAATTAAACTTGTCGAACACAAAAAATCGGGCCTGATTTTTAATTTTGGTCTCCCTTTTAGACAGAGGAGAGCGTGTAAATTGGCTATCGCGTCTTATAACTGGACTTTAAA